ACTACTAACGCTCTTTGTTGCCACAACATTAGGGAGGCAAGTCTGGGATGTGTTCCAAACAATACTATTGGTTTGTTACGGATGAGTCCAAGAGGTGGATATAAATACTGTGGACTATTAGAGTCTCTAATGAAATTTTTAAGACATATGTGTTGTCTGACTAAAAACCAAAACATGATTTATATTTTGCTAGAAGTAGTAAAATATGATTTTTACTAATAAAGAAAATAGCTATAACTTATCAGTGTGGACTTTCTTTACAGACTGGATGACATAGTAACAAAATTCTGGACTCCAAGAAAACCAATATTCTGTACTTCAACTACACTCTTAAAAATACGGGTGTCAATAGGGGTCCTCTGGAAAGACTGAGGTTCTACCCAGAATCATTTGCTTCTGAAGAACCCTTTTTTGAAGAGTTTTTCAAGGACTGTTGAAAGCATTGGCGTTAAAAGATCCTTACCCTTAAATATCTAAATGTTTACCCATGTTTCAAATAGTATTTTTGTATCTGGAATGTATCTAGAATCCCTCGATCAATTCATTTTACTTATGTTCTGCCATAGTTGATATCTTTGCACCTTACTTCATGCCATATAAAAGCACATGGTCTACTGAAATCCTTTTTTCTTCCAGGTTCCTCGTACTTGGCATTTTGTATTGAGTCATTCACATGTAGCAAAGTTTCGGTTCCCAACCCTACTGGGCCATTGCCTTGGTAAAGGCTGTAGTTGTAGTGATTTCACAAACCACCCCCTGTGATTTTGAACCAGGAGTGTTGTGGGTTGGGCTGGACGACATCAACTGTGACCTTTAAGGCCGCCTCAAGGCAGCTGGATGTGGCTCCCTTGGCCTTGGGCTAAACTGTTAAACTAAAAGCATGGTTAGTGGGAGAGAGATCTATGGGTAATGTCGTCAATTACTAGTTTTAGAGCAGCACCGGGCAGATTCTAGATGAAACCCTTGGAATATAAAAGTGTTCTCAGAAGAACCCCTTGGCTGTGGTCTTGTTATCACCTATAGACGGTGGAAAGGTTCTGGATGGAACCACCTGAAAGGGCTCTAGTTGGAACCATTACACCACATAAGGGTTCACTATAGAGCCTCTTGAAGGGGGGTTCTAGGTGGAATCTTTCACAGATGGTTATAGGTACAGCCCTTTGGCTTCTAGGTAGAACACCCGGAAAGGTTCCAGGTGGAACCTTTATAGACTGAATCATTGTGGCTTTGGGCTAACACTTCCAGGTAGACAACTGGCTATTGTTCCGAGTTGATGAGATATGTGTGATATATGTATGATATGTGAAATAAGGAGGTCTTTCCTTTAGTTAACACTCATATATTAGATATGATCAATATATCCCTATTAACAGGCTATGTACCACAGTCTTTTAAGGTAACTGTAATTAAACCTCTCCTAAAAAAGCCCACCCTGGATCCAGAGGTGTTAGCCAACTATAGACCAATATCTAATCTTCCCTTTATGTCAAAGATCCTTGAGAAAGTAGTCGCAGACCAGCTGTGTGATTTTCTCCAGGATAATAATTTATTTGAGGAATTTCAGTCAGGATTTAGAGTGCATCATAGCACTGAGACAGCTCTAGTTAAAATTACAAATGACCTTCTGATTGCTTCAGACAAAGGACTCGTCTCTGTTCTTGTTTTATTAGATCTTAGTGCGGCGTTTGACACAATTGACCATCAAATTCTACTGCAGAGACTGGATCACTTAATTGGCCTAAAAGGTTCAGCACTAAGCTGGTTTAAATCTTATTTATCTGATCGTTTTCAATTTGTTGACGTTCGTAATGAATCATCCTTACGTACCAAAGTTTGTTTTGGAGTTCCGCAAGGTTCTGTGCTCGGACCAATCCTATTTACTCTATATATGCTTCCTTTAGGTAACATCATTAGAAATCACTCTATAAATTTCCATTGTTATGCGGATGATACACAGTTGTATTTATCGATGAAGCCAGAAGAAAGTAATCAATTAACTAAACTCCATAACTGCCTTAAAGACATAAAAAATTGGATGAGCACCAATTTCCTGATGTTAAATTCAGACAAAACTGAAGTTATTGTTCTTGGCCCCAAACAACTCAGAGACTCTTTATCTGATGACATAGTTTCTCTAGATGGCATTGCTCTGGCCTCTAGCACTACCGTAAGAAACCTCGGAGTAATATTTGATCAAGATTTGTCTTTTAATTCTCATTTAAAGCAAACCTCACGGACTGCATTTTTTCATCTGCGTAATATTGCGAAAATTAGGCCTATCCTGACCCGAAAAGATGCAGAAAAATTGGTCCACGCTTTTGTTACCTCAAGGCTGGATTACTGTAACTCTCTATTATCAGGTAGCTCTAGTAAGTCCTTAAAAACTCTCCAGCTAATTCAGAATGCAGCAGCACGTGTACTAACAGGAACTAAGAAACGAGATCATATTTCTCCTGTTTTAGCTTCTCTGCACTGGCTCCCTGTAAAATCCAGAATTGAATTTAAAATCCTACTGTTAACTTATAAAGCTCTAAATGGTCAAGCTCCGTCATATCTTAGAGAGCTCATAGTGCCATATTATCCCACCAGAACACTGCGCTCTGAGAACGCAGGGTTACTCGTGGTCCCTAAAGTCTCCAAAAGTAGATCAGGAGCCAGAGCCTTCAGCTATCAGGCTCCTCTCCTGTGGAATCATCTTCCTGTTACGGTCCGGGAGGCAGACACCGTCTCCACATTTAAGACTAGACTTAAGACTTTCCTCTTTGATAAAGCTTATAGTTAGGGCTGGCTCAGGCTTGCCCTGTACCAGCCCCTAGTTAGGCTGACTTAGGCCTAGTCTGCCGGAGGACCCCCTATAATACACCGGGCTCCCTCTCTCTCTCTCTCTCTCTCTCTCTCTCTCTCTCTCTCTCTCTCACTCTCATCCTATTACTGCATCTTGCTAACTCGGCCATTCTGGATGTCACTAACTCGGCTTCTTCTCCGGAGCCTTTGTGCTCCACTGTCTCTCAGAATAACTCATACCGCAGCGGTGCCTGGACAGTGTGACGTGTGTGGTTGTGCTGCTGCCGTGGTCCTGCCAGATGCCTCCTGCTGCTGCTGCCATCATTAGTCATTAGTCATACTTCTACTGTTATTATACACATATGACTATTGTCACACAAGTATACTGTCTGATATTAATACATACTTTCAACATATTGTACCACAGTAGCCAGAACTATAACTATAATATTATTACTTTCATTAATGTTGTTGTAAGCTACTGTCATTACCTGCATCTCTCTCTCTATCTCTCTCTCTCTCTCTCTCTCTCTCTCTCTCTGTCTCATTGTGTCATATGGATTACTGTTAATTTATTATGCTGATCTGTTCTGTACGACATCTATTGCACGTCTGTCCGTCCTGGAAGAGGGATCCCTCCTCAGTTGCTCTTCCTGAGGTTTCTACCGTTTTTTTTTTTCCCCGTTAAAGGGGTTTTTTCTGGGGAGTTTTTCCTTATCCGCTGTGAGGGTCTTAAGGACAGAGGGATGTCGTATGCTGTAAAGCCCTGTGAGGCAAATTGTGATTTGTGATATTGGGCTTTATAAATAAAATTGATTGAATTGATTGAAATCGGCAAACTTGTTTAATTCTGTTGTAATTTGTCATCTGTAACAGTAACATTTAAAGACATATAGTTTAACACAGTGGTCCGACCTATCTGATGTTTCTGCTCTGCGTATTTTAATTACCGTGTTGCTTTGCTAGCATCTTTGTTAAACCAAAACTACCGGCATGGAAGCTAAGCAATATACTGCTGTGGATGAGGCTGTAGCAACACGTATTTTAGCCACCTAAAAAGACCCACCTAAAATACTCAAAAGCAGTGTAAGTGTACACCATCTTTGGAATATTTTCACCGCTTTACCTCACACACTAACTGATCAAGGCAGCAGTGGGCCAGCAACTCCCATGTTCTAAAATGACTGTCTTTGCCAGTGGAATCTGGTGGCTTTGAGATTCAGTAACCTAATGGAAAGAGCTGTGAGACGGCAAGGTAAATATAACATACACGTAAACTGATTTTTCTTTGTGTTTCAGGTGGCTAAAAACTAACCAACTAAGGCAGCGTTAGCTAAGTGCTGTTTCATGGTATGTATGTGACAAGGAGGTTTTCTACCCAGAGATTATTGTAAACAAGCACTGAGATTCCGTATATGAAAGGTTCTACCAGGAACCAAAACAGGTTCTCCTATGGGGACAAGCCTAAGAACCCTGTATGTTCTAGTCTTCACCCTTATTTCTAAGAGTGGTATGACTGCACACCACTGGATGCAATTTTTGGTAATCTTCTACTGTGGCAGACAGTGCTGTGAACTTAATCTAATTAATATTAATTTTTCCCTGTCTGCTGTCTGGGCTGGTAACCCCGAGCAACAGTCTACAGCCCATCTGTATTGTGCTGCGGTTTAGTAAATGATGCCGAATTGCTTCCTGGCACATCCAACACCTATAAACTCCCGACCAAAAAAATAAAATGAAATGTGTTTGTATACTTAGGAATGACGGAAACATGTGGTTATCAGAATGGGATAATATGCTTTCATAGAGCTGTGTATAGTAACTGCAGGACAAAAGTGGTGCAATCATTTAGCTATAAGAAGGTTTCATGTGGAGCTGAAATGGCATGTGCATGTATGCAATTTAGCTGGTTTGACATTTGACCTGCAGCAAAGGAAGAATGTGGCTTAAACGTTTTTCCATACAGAATCTATTTGTCTGATCAGTCGCATTGCCCTAAATATAAAAAAATCCTCCATGTTGTAAACTATTTTCAGCACAAACGTGAAATGAACTTCTTTTAATGAGTCCCCTTTAAAGCCTTTCAACAACTCTGGCAAAACACTGTGCAGAGAGGAGAAACTGAAGGCAAACCATTTTACATACATTTCCAGCTAAAGGTGGGCCCCAATGGGGAGTCAAGGGCAGCTACTTCAGGTGAATGGTAGAGTACTTACTGTAGGTTGCATAACATATTGTTGATGAGGCATCCATGACGTACTCTGGACCTAAGGAGAGACACATAAAATGTACAATATAAATTTTCCTCAATCTTAGTAAGATCCGAGTGGTATCCCACATAAAGCAATAAACGCTGTTCAAATATTCACAATATGTTCAAATACTCTCGAGTCTGAAAGTTTTAAAGTGATTGCGATGGTTTTAATGCACCAAAATGGCTGAACTTTAAACAGATTAAGTTGTGCCAAAGAATTACAGAAAGAATTTGAAAGTCTGGAGGCAGCAAATCTCCCTCCTGCCTTCTCATTATTGCCAACAGTATGACTTGTGCAAGGAGCCCATAAATTAGGTTCCTTCTCTATTATAATAATATTATTAATGCCGTACCCAGTGCTGTTGCAAGAGGGGAAAAACATTGTGAAAATTCGAGGGACAGACAGCTAGAGAGAACATGTTTCAGTAGGATTATTTAAAGGTTTAAAAGAATAAAATAAGAGGACTTTGAGAGTGGTGGAGAGAACTCAGAGGTATGCCAAGCTAATACCAGAGGAAAACATATGGAGACATGCATACTCACAAATGTGGATGAGAAAGGTAAAGAGATGGTGAAACAGTGACAGACAATGATCAAGAGACCGAGGGAATGGAGGAACAAACAGAGCTTTTAGATGTGCTGGAGAGAGGAATTAGACAGCTTGTAGCAGACAAACACACAGGCTGGCCACTGATCCTGGTAAAATGATTAGATTAAACAAAGACAAACATGGAATAATCTGCTATAAGAGCAATCAATCCTCTGTGCCAACCCAAACGCGTGATTTGGATCCACACCTAAACAAGCTCGATGTTCTATAACATGAAGCCAAGTCTGTTTGTTTATACATGGCAGTATTTGTTCTCCCCAGCTGAACGGGACAGCAGATAGACACAGAGAAAGCTTATCTTTAATCAGTTATCTTTATGCAAGATACTGCATGACCATCATGTGATTGATTCAACAAAGACACTTAGACTGTAGTCAGACTTAAGGCCTCTTTATACTGTGCCACTTTGGGCTTTCCCAGAGGAAAGTTGACAATTGTGAATGAAACGTTGTGAAATCTTTGGTTATAAATCAAAAGCGGTTTAGAAGAGTCCACTCACGGCCAATTTGGAGCTTTGCTGACCAAAGACAAAACAGCGTCAGAGAGTTAGAATCAAAATCCCGCAATGCAACTACTGCTACAACCCACGTTTGCAAACAAACCAATCACAGTACAACATGAAATGAAGCAGAATCAACTAGAGAGCTAGTGTCATGCTAATGCTAAACACATATTTACTGCTTTTGGCTAATTCCATTGTAGTGCTGCGATTTACCAGACATCAAGCACAATCTGACATGCCTCAAAACTGATAGCATACAGTTGTGACAGCTTGTGAATGTGATTGAGATTAGACCCATTGTACACACTGTCGGCAATTACAGAACTCTGGGAACTCAAGGAATAAATAAAATGACCTTTTCCACTGCCTTCTCTGCTCTAACATTTTCATAGCGTCTGAATATGATTGGACGTGTGTTGTGGAGGTCAGCTCAGCGTATTTGGGTTCAAAATTAAAATTTTGTTGTACTTTTGCACCACAACTTGACAGAAGAAATATGCAGTGTGTGCCTCTATGGCTCAGGCTGCTGAGAGAGTAAAGCCTCTCCCTCTGATGGAAATGATGGCCCATTAGTACAAATGTAGAACAATAACAAAATTAACTGGCCACAGGCAGAGTGCTATCAAGAGCCAAAACACCGTGACATAACACTAATAACAACAACAATCACTTCCGGTTAGACAAATTGGAAAATGGAAATTGGATCTAAGTTGCGGACATACATGAAGCAAACTTTAATAAAATGAGCAAATTAGGTCTCCAACTTAATGTTAGTTAAAGGAGCAGTGTTTATGATTTAGGGATTTAGTGGCATCTAGTGGTGAGATTGAAAATTGCAACCAGCTGGAACTTCTCCCGGTTAGATTTCCTTCAGTGTTCATTGTTCAGGAGATTTTACTGAAAGTCAGATTATCCCCAGAGATCTCCTCTCCAAAACACACTCTCAATAGAGTATAAACTCTAAATAAAGCAGTTTCATGTTAAAAAAAAATCAGTGTTTTTCTGACGCTGCCAATCGCTTAGAGGTTGCTAACTACAGTAGCAGATGTGAAAATGCAAATGGCCCTATCTAGAGCCAGCGTTTAGTTTGTCCCTTCTAGGCTACTGTAGAAACATGGTGATGCAACATGGCAGACTTTGTGGATGAGGACCCGCTCCCTATGAGGATATAAATGGTTCATTCTGAGATAACAAAAACACAATGATTCTTATTTTCAGGTGATTTTACACCAAAGAAAACATTAGATTTAATTTCTGCCAATATAACCTCATGTATCCTACACACTGGACCTTTAAAGTGTTGTTATATGAAAGTATCAAACATATATAATAGATGAATGCGATGTATACACGTTGAAATAACAGATGCTAAGTCAAGAGCTGTCTTTGAGCATGTTTGGTCTTTGCAGATGTAAATCTGAAAAACTCAAACCCTTCTCTTTATTGTTACTTGGCAGCCCCAAACACAACAAGACTTAACCATTGTGTCTTTATTGTAAACAAATGTGATTTAGTCTATAGAAAATGCTCTAATGTAGCCAGTGGCGATCCATGACTCTAGGGGGGCCCCAGGCAAAGAAGCCCATCAAGGTCCAATTTCATTGTGCTAATGGTTACACCTAAGGTTGTAGGTAGGACAGTTACAGGTAGCTCACTGACTGTCCTTACTAACAGTATCCAGCTGTCATAAGGTAGCTAGAAGGGGCTCTGCTTAAGGGGTTTTGGGGGCAGCGGAGGTGCGCTGTATAGTGCCTTTATGGGAGGTTTAAGGGGGTTTATTCTTGTCATTGCAAAATATGCCAAATGAGTGGCCAGTTTTTTGGGGGGGCCCTAACATTTGCCTGGTTAGCCTTTCCTAGTGCGCCCCTGAATGTAGCATTCCACATTCAGAGACCAAGGAGACTTTGCCTCTGAGAACTTGTCTTGTCTGATCGAGACTCAACTTTTCTAACAGTAATTCTAAAGCTACAGTACGTCTAGTTTTAGTGACTGGTATAATATGCATGACCCAAGAGGCTCCCTACCTCTGGCTGAACTTTACAGCTCGCGTTACCGTTTAAAACAGCCTGTCAGCCAATAAGCCAAAAAGCCGGTCAGTCAGTTGCTCATCTGCACGGTCAGCCAGTTGGCCACCCATCCAACCAGTCACACGTAAAGCCAAACAGTCAGCCAGTTAGCTAGTTAGTAAGCCAGCCAGCCAGCCACACATCCAACCAGCCAGCCAGCCAGCCACATATTTAGTCAGCCTGTGAGCCAGTCTGCAGAGCCAGTGATGTAAACCAGGCCACGGCTGGCTGGCGGCACTAGCTGAGATCTTGGTGGTGATCTGGCCTGGGCTGGCTCCCCTCATGTGGATCATCAAAGCTGTTTTTCCAGGAAACAAAGCCAATCATCGTTCAAGCTCACCGGAGGCAGGCTTGAAAGAACACCAGAACACTGCTGTTGGCATGGGTCATTTGCAGATTTGATAAATCAATGCCACTATACTAGTAGCTCAAAAATATCCACTCAACATAAACATAAAAGAAGGAATGGCATATGCAGTCATTTCCATGCACCTTGAGATTTCATTACAAAGGCAATAGTTATCATCACAAAAGGAAGCGATTTCCTTTTGTCTGGCGTATGTGGCTGCCTGGCTTGTCTTCTCCTTTTCTTTTTCCTCTGTCTCTTTGTACTTGAACAGAAGATGAAGGACTCACCTTCCTGCCGTGACTGGCTGAAGGGCAATATTACAGGAAGCAGTGGCAGAGCTGCCCGATATTGAAACTGTGAGGATTAATATTCCTCAAAAGCCTGGCCATTGTTTTTGATAAATCAATTTGGGAAGCCTTCCGAGAGCGGATTAGAGACGCGCCCTGGCCCACTTTTCTCCCTCCTCCTCTTTCCCCTACCCCTCCACCGCAGGTACTGGACCAGAGTTTTAATCAAGCGTGCCTCAAAGACGGGCACAGCAACCTTCAGCAACACCCCTCCTCTGCCCCCCCCCCCCCCCCCCCCCCCCCCCCCCCCCCCCCCCCCCCCCCCCCCCCCCCCCCCCCAACCGAGCCATCGCCATCACCACCAACCGTACTATCCGTCCTCCTCTCCCTAGTTGTCTTTCTCTCCATCTGTCCCTTCTATTTTCCCCATCTATCCTTCATCTCCTTTCTCTTGCTCACTATCCTCGTCTGCCTGTCTCTGCATACCAAACAGAGCCGATGTTAAACGATAGTGTCTGAGCGAGAGGGCACAGTGGCAGTGCCTCTTGATGTTTAGATTCGGCAAAGGGTGCTGCGTGAAATGTGCGGTGACGGAAAACGGTTAACGCTCTTGACATCTCACACAGCCAATTTTCACGTTCCTGTTCTGTTCTCTTTCATTACTCCACAGATCACAGCAGTGAGGAATGTGGAAATTCACTTTGGAAGAGGAAGCGATTGCATCGAAGTTAGCAAAAATAAAATCTAAGAAGAAAAAAAAAAAACAACAAAAAAAACCCTGCTTGTATTGTGTTAGCAGCCGAGGGAGCACAAAGAGGTCAGAAAACTGGGAGGGAGGGAAGTGTTTGTTTTTCCTAGACTCTTTCATTCTTGATGGGTGATTTTAGTTTTTTCTACCCTGTCAGCCTTTTTTAATCCCTTTTTTTCTGCTGCTTGTTTTCTGATGCCTGTTGTGTTTGCCGCCTACGAAACAGATGTCATCGAGCACAGCTGGAGCGGCGAAGAAAACGATGAGAGAAGAAGAGAGAACCTCACGCTGTTTTGCAGCCCGCCCCGTCTCTTCCATCCCTTTACACATAGCACAACCTCATATTACACATACATAGACAGCAATCTACCCATAATGCAGCGCATTATGGCCCACCTGATATGTGGAAACGGGGGAAGCAGCGATGAAGGGCGTGATGGAGGTCTGTGCAATCATGCGGTTGGTGGCGATGCTGTAAGGTGAGGAGTAGAACCTGAGGAGGGACAGAGAGGGAGGGAGAGAAAGAGGGGGAAGGAGGTAAAGGAGGAGGAGAGGACACAGCAGAATTAGCTTGTCAAATTCATTTTAGTTTTATAGAACATATTGTAAATATAAAATGATGGTAAAAATACAAAAATGGTGCATTAACTGACATATCTTTCGCCTGTACAAAGATTTCTCTGTCTATATAAAAAAGAAACACTTGCAAACCAGAGCGCACACACACACAGACACACAAACGCACTGTCGATTTATCCTGCAGCTTGTTCAGAACAAACACTCGGCCATATATTGTATTTCGAACGCCACATAAAAGTTTCATGAAGTGTCTTATAGCGTTCTCAATTGAAAAGTCGGGTTTTATCACATCAAATTGAGCTTTGTCATAGTATAAAGTAGGAGGTTGTCTGTATTTTTTTTTTCCAATGTGGATTCAAGTATTAAGGCTGCACTATACCATGCTGGCTGGCTGGCTTAAGCAGCACGCTTGTAGGCTAAGCTTGTGGAAAACTCAATGCATTTCAAGAAGGTGAGGTTTGACATGAGCTGCAGAGAAGCGAGGTGGTCGGCTCCGCTACTTTATCTCGTTGCTAAAGGTTTATAGCGACAGAATGTTGCTGTGATCCCCAGGGAGACTAAGTGGAATGTCCAATAGTCTCTGTCACCTGAGCTGAAGATCATATTACTGGCCAAGGATTACAAGTTATGTACAAGGTTTGACCACCCTACATTTGAATTGAAGATACAGCATCAGCTCTTTATGTTGTGTATTACATTATATTTTAACCCTGGAGACCCCAGGCCACTTCAACAGCTAAAAAAAAAACAAATTTACATTGTTTTATCAACTTGATGGACAATCTTGGAACCCATCAGCTGTTAGACTGATGACAATAAAGCCTTTGAGGGAAACGGACAACATTTTGTGGTTCCAGCGGGTATCTGGATAATGGATATGCAGGCCAAGATTTCCTCCTCTGTGTGCCAGTCATTGCTTACAGTCTGATTAGCAACTTGAGATGCAAGAGTGCATTTGGAGTTGATTGTGCACTAATCTGTCTAAACAGATATCTGCATATGAATTAAAAAAAGCTACTAAAAATTTAAAAAATTGGCAGATGATAGCAGATGAACTCTGAGATTGCATTTCAGCCGATGCGTTCCACCTCTTTTGCTCTCCATGCTGACTGTTTACCTGCATGTAACCCAAGTCCGCTCAAACGTGACTGATCCACTTGGACTATAAAGGGAATCCAAGATGCTTCCAATGCCATTGCAAAGAGATTTTGTATTAATATTCAGATTTCTGTTTATGAAGAATCCTTAATGGGTTACAATAGTTATGACTTTGAACTGATTGCAAGTTTTAGAAGTTTGCTAGAAAAGATTAATTTACCTCTGTTTTACCCCGGCTATAAAACATGGTTAAATACGATAGATTGTTAAAATATTATGTATCTGTGACTGACGTTTACAGTCCTTTTACCGTAACTTTACAACTCCCGAATTCCAAATAAATCTATTTCAATTTCTCACATTGGAGTTTTAATAGTTTGTTTATAAGAGGACAAACTGGAAGGTAAACCTCTCTCGAGTCGAACTGAACGCAAACATGAGTCATGTTATAATGTCTGATAAAATATTTTAGATTTTTTATGACTTTTGGCACAATAAATATATATTTGTTCACAAATAGCTCATTAATTGATAAAACATGAAATGTTTCTTTAGTTGGAATAGTGACAATGTTTTGTATGACAATTTCCTTCATCACCAATAAAACAGTATTACCAATAAAACACAAGGAATAAAACACAACTCTGTTAATGTGCTACTTGAGAGATGATGAAATATCTTACTGTTTTTAGGTTAATATTTGGTCTTAATGTGGGCAATAAACTTGCTGCTCTCCTATAAAAGTATACAGTCAAATTCAAATATTAATGCAAACTACAAAATGTAAATTCAACCCCTCAGTAGTATATACAGGGGTAATTTGCATCATAATTATATTTTAAATTTACTAATCCAATTTGCCCCTGTGTGTTCTCCACCCACAGGAATAGCCACTGGGTTCAGGTGCATTGTCAGCTGGTTGGCAGGCTATGGCGAGGACTGCTGATGCCTGGCATCACAGATTGGTTCTAGGGCAAAACATTCTTACTGCCAACTTGTCAGATACCAATGCTTCGTCAGTAGCCCTTTGCATCAAACTAAGATGCTCTGAGTACTCCTCTAGAATCAGTTTTGGACACTCAGGGACATTGTGTTAGTTTCTGCTTGTTACACACACAGTGTCTGTTCAAAATAAACTTAAACTAACATAGGTTTACTTTGTTTTACAGTTAAGGCAACAAAAGTACTTGGAAAGGTTAAGAAAAAAGATCCATGAGTCAATGTTGAATTTTGGTTTCTGACAGGACACATACAGCAGTCTCTTGGTTGAAAGTCCTTTGTTTGTTGGACCCATCCACCACACTGGACATTCTTGCTCTTTATGCTAAGTCAGTTGCCCACCAGTTGGAAGTGAGATCACCTGTCTGAAGACATGGAGTCTTGTGGGGGTACTGTGGGACTACATGGTACCCTGGCTGTTGCTACAAGCTGGTGTGAGAGCTGAGTCTGTATTCTCTGCAGGAAGTCATAGACTTTTCAGTGGATGTTGAGCTTCAGTGAAGTCACTGATTCTGTTTGTGATATTCATGGACAGGATCTTAAGGTGCAGCCGTGGGATGTGGGAATCTCTGGACTAGGGACCTCAGAACTGCTCTTTGCAGATGATGGGGTTCTATTGGCTTCATCAGACCGTAACCTTTAGTACGCACTGAGATGTTTTTCAGCTGAGTGTGAAGTGGTCAGAGTCACGGAACCAAAGGACTTGAAGTCAGCACCTTCGAGGGCGAGGCCCTGGTTCTCTGCCAGAAAACGGTGGATTTCTCCATCTAGGTTTGGAGTGAGATGCTCTAGTAAGAGAAGGAGTTCAAGGATTTCTGGGATTTGAGGATAAAATAGAGCATAAAATCAACAGGTGGGTTGGTATAATGTCAGCAGGAGTTGAGCCGGAAGGAAAGATTCTGACTTACTAATCTTATGGTTACCGACCAAAGGAATGAGGTTGCTAATACTAACAGCCAAGATGAGTTTTCTCCGTAGGGAAGCTGGGCTCATTCTTAGAGATAGGATAAGGACCACAACATTTGGAGGGGACTTGGAGTAGAGCTGCCACTTTTCCATGTCAAAGGTGGGCCAGTTAAGGTGGTTTGGGCATCTGATCAGGATGTCTCCTGTTAAGAGGTTTTCCAACTGGTAGGTGGTAGGTGACCCTGGGTTAGAACCAGTAGACTGGAGAGATTATATATCTCATCTGTTTTAGGAATACCTTGTGATCATTCAGGAGGAGATGCACCATGCTGCTGGGGAGGAGGGATGTCTGGACTACCTCGCTTAGCATGCTGCCACCGTGACCTTGCCCTAGCAGAAAATAGATGGATGGATCCATATTGCACTTGAATTTTGATGTTCCAGTAAGCACAGTCTGACAAATGTGAAGTGGCTTTTTTGTTTTACACTTTCAGTTCAACTGCAGTTTTATTTAGTACTTTCCATTAACTTATGAATTAAATTTTCGGTATACTTCTATATTCTTTGCCACTGATTCACGCTTTATGTCTATTTTCCACTTTGAGTAACATTTGTATAAAACTGACTACTTTCACATTCTTTGCAACTTAATTCACCTAATTTCCTTTTTTCCTGGAACATGATCATTCAGCTAAACTTCTGGTCGAATGTAATACGACTGAATCACTCCTTTCCCAGCAGGTCTGTTGCCTAACACAAATATCTGTGGGATTATAATTTGGCGGATTTGCAGCAAAGCAGGCTTTTACATGGCAGGCTGTGTGTAATGAGTGATGCTATTCATCCAGTTTTTTGGTTGAGATTGACTCCGAGTCACTGGGGGATAAGTGGTTTAGGAAGCGGGGAATGAGGAGCTTCCTGTGAATGACTGAGGCCAGAGGGAGACAGAGGAGAGCCTAAACACTCTCCTTCCTGTCTCAGGACTGCGGGGAAAAATAAAACATGTTGCCGGGTCATTTATTTCCACAGCAGCATTAAGTCATGACATAAAGACACAGAAACACACAGGAACACACACATACATGAAGAACCAAACACACAGAAGCTCGCACAGCTGCCCTTGGCCATTTTTCACCCGTCCCAACCTATGAAAACTGATACGGCGCCCATATAGATTTTCCTAATCAAACAGTAACAAAGTGCAGACACTACATTAATCTTTATGTATGACAGTGGTATTGAACGGGTCCTATGAGCCAAGAGGTGAGTGTATTAGATAGTGCCAAGGATGGATTGACTGTCAAGCTCTTACCCATTCTGCATTGCAGCTGGATCATATGTTAACGCCATGCCAGTCTGAAAGAGAAAAAACATGCAGGATTAATCATAAATTAAGAGATTTGGATCAGAAAAATAATAAATGACATAAAACTAGCCTGGTTCCAGACCATAGACCCCGCCCACTCAACTGAGTAGGCTTACATCTCTGGTCTGGCATACTTCAATGAATTTGCGATTTATCTCGTCCAAACGCTGGACGAACCAATGAACGCCAGGGGTGGGGGTAGGTCTAGCGATTAGCCAATCAGCGCCACGCTGATGTCAAGCTGTACGCCGGTGGGTAACTGGTGAGGATAGCAACAATGGCGACCGCTACAGATCCTACAGACCACATTAACGATGCTATCGAGGTATTTCGCCGCTACTCGCGTTAATGGAGGACCAAATTAGGAAGCTGCTAAACTGGCGATGGAGACATTTTAAAAGGGCAATGCTCGCTTGTTTTCGGCACCCCCGAGGCATAGATACTAATGACGTCAGATTCTGGGTGAGTTGTTGATCTCTACTGATTGGTTAGGGAAAAAATCAAATTCCCCCCCCCCCCCGTAAATCGCCTTCAGTCTGACACTCAGGCTAACATAAAACTGCAACAAGGAAAAAACTGATGATTGAAAAGGCAGTGCAGATAAAGCTGAAACAACACCTTCATCTTTTTTTCTGTATTTTCCTTCTTCATTTTTGGGAATGTGCTTCCTCCCTTTTTTGCCAAGAAGCAGATAAAGATCAGAAGACTATGTTTTTACATTTCAGTTATTATACACATGAAACAAATGATATAACGTGTTAATTAGCATGTTGTAGAGGTGTTGGTAGCAGCTTTTTTTTTTTTTTTTTTTTTGAACAGAGCTAAGCTGGCTGTTTTCCCTGTTTTAAGTCTGGCTGTACCTTCATATTTAGAGCATACAGACATGAGAGTGGTTTCAATCTTGTTTCTGTAAAAAAGCAAATATGTTTACTTTCCAAAATGTCAAACTACTCCTGCTTAGAGGGGACCTATTATGCTCATTTTCAGGCTCATATTTGTATTTTGGATGTGTACTAGAACATGTTTTCAAGCTGTAATGTTAAATGCACTTAATGTAACTACAATGACTGCCTTGTGGTTGTATACCTCTATGAACCAGTCAAGTTGCAGTTAAAGGTTACGTCCAAATCTGGACTCCAGACTCATATGTAGCCATGACAGTAGACTTTACTTCTAGTATGAATGTTGCTGCAAAGAAGCTACAAATTCTAAAACATGGATGCCTCATACACATCTCCAACCCACGGCACAGAAGATCTATACAACCAGTACTGGTTCAAGGTGGTGGTGTCACAAATTCAGTATCTGATCAAATGTATCTTCTGTTCTTGAGTTATGGTGTTGAATAATGGCAAGAAGTGTTTTTGCAGAAGATTATGATGTCACAGTGAAGTTGACCTTTGACCTTTTGGATATAAAATCTCATGACTTCATCACATTATCCTATCAGACATTTGTGTAAGATTTTGTAATAATTAGCTTATAAATTCTTGAGTTATGGTCAAAAACAGTGAGGTCCATCAAGGTCATTTTAAATAATCCCATTCATAAAAATAGGATGCATAGACGGACAGACTGATGGACAACACAAAAACAACACCTTTAGCTACAGCTAGCAGCGGCATGATGGTTTAAAAAGAAATTAATTTTCTATGTCTGAGACACTTAGTTTTAGCGCCTGTCTCTTTAAGCCCCCCCTCCCGAAAAAGCCCAGCCTGCTCTGGCTGGTTAGCAGTTCTGGGTCTTCCATATTTTGGCGTCTCTGCATCATTATCACAGTTGGGAAATGACTGTAACCGAGTATAGCAGCACTTTCTACTGTGAAAAATCACCAATAAAATCTTCTCTATAGAAATCTTCCCACCGGAAATGTTGCAGCAGCAAATATGATTCGAAATTAGGAAGGAATAAACAACATTTTGCAACCAAAATTACATGTTTCCCCGGCGTTAGCATGTAGCTACATGTAGCAGTGTAGGCTCCATCATGTAAACACTTGCAGTAGCTTGCCTAGAGCAGATGACCATGTAAAAAATGCGTCACAACAAACAAAGAAATGTTGGAAACAGAGCATTTTGAACAGTCTGAGTTTTTGCTAGCAGGAATGAATTTTTCATGGGTTTACCTAATTTTTTTGAAACTTTGGCCATGTTTAATATGAACAACTGACATTTTAACATACATGACAAATAAGAGGGAAAAACACACAGGTTCCATTTAATGACAAGTGCATAGGACCAAAATCCTGCACACAACGTTTCAGTAGGTAGATCATTGTCAGGTATGATTAATATCTCCTTCACACACATTGGACATGTTGTGCATATATATTGTACTGCATTCTGTCAGCATCACCCAGATGTTATTTTGTGCCAGTATGTTCTGTATGTCTCAGGAAAATCTGTCGATATGTTCCTGCACCAATGTCACCCAGATAATCCGTTATATCTTTATTGTACTTAGGGAATAATGTGATTTATACCCTGATTCTTTTTGTTCAGAATAAATTTAATCAAATCAAAATCAACTCATTTTCAAATTGGAAAAACTGACAAGTGACAAAGCCAATGTGGGGAAAAGCTCAGTCAATAGGACAAAGTGAATTGGTATTGAGGACGCCTCTTTTTCCATTTCAATCACGTACATTCATGTATTTATGAATGAGAGGAAATGAAGAAATGCCCTTTGGAGAGAAAAGGAGTGAGCGGAAAACTGAGTTCTTTGTCTGCTGATGGTGTGTGCGTGTAAGTGTGTATGTGTGTGTGTGTGTGTGTGTGTGTGTGTCTGTGTGTGTAGGTGTGTGTGAGGCCCTCTAAGAGTCCAGGAGAGAAACCTGTGCGCCGCAATCCGTCATCTGCATTCCTGAAGGTTCTCTCCCGGAGGAGAGCTAATCCGATTTCTTTTAACGGGAGGCTGCTGAGGATGGCAGATTTCATCAGCATACACACACACACACACAGACCCCCACACACACACACACACACACGTGTGCACGCACACTCCCTTTTCTTGCCCTTCCTCTCTTTCACTTTGCTCTCCCTCCCCCTCCTTTCTTTCGTCATCATCTTATGTTCTCTTCCTTTTTCTCCTTACCTTTCTTCCTTCATCCCTCATCTCTTAATCTACCCTCCTCCTGTCTTTCTGTGCCACTTTTTTGCCCTTGTCCCTCTAGAGGGCTACCTACACTGAGCCATATAGTTAAGGGAACAGTGGCTCAGAGGAGCAGGGGGGATCAGTGAGCCTGGACCAAACCCATGAGAGTGAGCGAAAACAGAATCCATACCAAATGAATGGGGATGTGTGGATGCATGTGTGAGTAGTGGCCTTTGTGTTCAGTTTCTGTGAGAGTGCATTTGCACAACGAGTTAAAAAAAGCTTTCAGAGACACTTTATGTAAAGGCCAGATGAAGGGACTTGCATCAGCTCTGTATTATTTGAATATCTTTTACTCTATTTGTGTATTTTCACCTTCAGTCCCCTTCTGTGAGTCAATATGTGCAAAGGTCTCTCTGAATGTGTTTATGCACTGTCTTTACACTAAATGTGAGATCAAAACTGCTTGTTTGTGTGTGAGTGTGTGTTCACATGTGCGCCAATAGCGGTGGCAGACTTGGCCAGCTGTCTGGTGAGGCTGATAACTCCCCCAAGTGCTGCCCTTGGTTCCATGTGCTGATGAATTCCACAGCAGAGAAGCTCCTGACCGGAGACCCTGCATGGCCAATGACTGATTACCGATGCAGTCAGCTTTTGGCTTTGCCACAACAAGGAGAAAGGGAAAAGACAGAGACAGTCTGTGTATGTTCTCTTTGTTGTGTTTTTTTTTTTTTTGGTCTGAGCTTGTTTCAATACTGAAAAAATGTCGATACTGTGCAGATCCTGTGAGCATAGCTTGGCCCTGAGAAAAGCTGCTGAGGACAGACTGACTTTAGAGAGGAAGCAGCTAGGTATGTTCATTTTGCATGCCAAATTAGCTGAAATCGAGTTGCACTCCCTCACCTCATGCTGTAAAGATGATTTAAAGATCCAGTGTGTTGGATTCAGGGGAATATATTGGCAGAAAGGGAATTTGTTACTTTAGAATGAGCCGTTTATATCTACATCTATATTTCTACAGTAGCCCAGAATGGACAAACCAAACACTGGCTCTAGATAGGACATTCATGATTTCGCATTGACCACTGTAGTTAGAAGCTCCCAGGAGCGTTGGAGCATTGGAAAAACACTGATGTTTTTTATGTGAAACAGCTTCATCCATCGTATTTACCAGTTTAAATCACTGGGTCTGACTGTTTTGTAGAAGAAGAGATCTCTGCGGATAATTCAGTTTATGGTAAAAACCTCCAGGTGCTGGGTTAGAAACAGCATAAGAGAAACACTAATTTGTAACATGACACTGTTTTATTCAGTGTTTTAACTAGTTTTAATCACTTGGTCCATTTGTTTTGGAGAGGAGGAAGCCTGTGTGGATAATTCGGCTTCTGATAAAAACCTCCTGAACGTCTGGATCAGAAAAAAAGGTGAGCGCACATTAGCAGGTGCTGGGTCAGCAGCCCATCTCTAGCCCCTTTAACACTGCCAGATTTTCCGCGAATGTTGGGCTGTTTTGCCGGCAAGCTGCGAGCGTTTATACACACAGAGCCGGATTGGCGAGTTGATCCGAGGTGCCCAATTTTCCGCCTCGTAGGGTAGTCATATTGGTGGAACCCTTTCAGTTTAAAAGACCGAGGTGGCCTTCCGCAATGGGAGGGGCTGTTGATGATGCCGCACGTTCGACCCACTGACAGTGGATAAACAGGAAACAGCTGATAGCAGGAATTAGCGAGCAGCTAGTAGCAGGAGGGAAACGCAAACCTGACAGACACTGTAAAGATGAGCAACTGGGGAGACAAGGAATTGCGCACCCTCATTGTCCTTGCAAATAAAGAGGCCATTAACTGTCAGATGACGGGGATGGTGAAGAACGGGCCGACTTATGAGAGAATCGCCAAAG